CCAAACCAAAACATGGCACAAGTCCATGAAGTCACTGACAAGTGGACTGAGTCATGTTGGTAGGTGTAGACTACCTGGTTGGGGACCGCGAGATGATAGCAACCGATGGTTAGAGACCCTGAATGACATGGCTCAAAATCGTTTGCAATGGCGCAGGTGCATCCACTCTCTGTGTTCTCCCAAATTTTGATCTTATTCGTCCTTGTCTTTTTTTTCCTCTTTCCAAATTTATTTCACTGGATTATACTCTTTAAATAACATCTCCAAACCCTAATCTTCCCGATTACTGCTTATACTCTTATTACCTCTACCACTACGGGATTTGAATCGACCACTGCATCTCTGTGCTAATGTGGTGTGGCAACTCGAACTGATGTACGTACGTACGAAGTTCTACGTTGTTACTGACTGACTGACTATGATGAGACAGTTATTTATTACATCCTAGTTTGGTATGCTTATTGAGCTACAATATGTCATAATAGGTCCCATACAAGGACGAAATGGCCGATCCGTAGTTCCAGGTTTTCAATGGTGGTCTAGCTTAGGTCGACACGTGGTTTTAACTGTGAAAATTTAGACATCATCATAAATCGGAAATGCCAATATAACTCTTACTAGTTATTGTGTCATATGTCAATGTTTTTAGCAGTCTATTTAAGCTTTTTATTTATTAAATAGTATTTAAAAACACCATAATTACCAAGTCTAACTTCAATTTTTGGAATCACAAATAACTTTATTTACTTTGAATAAGTTAGTAGCTGTTTGAACTGAGTACCTTAATTGATGACGTGTTGCTATTTGAAACTATATGTACTAAGTGTGATGTTAATTGTGGACTGTAACACCAAGATTCGGGTGTACACCCAATCCCAAGTAAAAAGAAGCACAAATCTTGAATCCCACTCAGAATCATACTTCAAATATACTTGATCATAATGATTGTTTATTGAACAGTTTATTAGTTTTACCCATGAAATACGTCATTGAATGTAAAATGTACATCACAAGTGAATCGTAATATCAAATACTTTAAATAAGATTCCAGTAATCCTATAAAAATTTGATTATCTTCTACGTATTTGCAGATACAACTGATGGTTTCCGTGATTGTCGTACAGCTCTCACTGTATTTCTGAATGACATTATCACAGTTCACTTCCCACAGAAAACTTTTAAGACATTCGAAATCGTTTTCAATCCTTAAAAACATCAAACTTTTGATATTAATTAGACATCCGTACACGAATATCTAGCCGATTACATTTTGCAATTATTGGTGAGTTATTGAGCGATGTTCACACAAAAACATTCATACAAAGGGGCACCAAATACATATGCACCACACAATATTAGTGATTTATGTGAGGGCTGTAATACTGCCTGTGTGCCCAAACTGAAGTAGGTGGTTTTATTAAAGGTCCACATCCGGAGCCTTTGATCTAAGGGTCTAATTCACAAGGCGATGGAGCAACGCTAGGAGATGCAGTCCCGTAGTAGTTGGTGACCAATAATAGGTTCATACGCCGGTTGTTCCCTCAGGATCCTGAAGCCCATGTGTACCATTGATTCGGAATCAGGGTTTTCCAAATCCCCTAGGTGGACCCTCCGTGTCCACCAACCCGGACATTTGCTTTTCGTCTACCCCCAACTTCGTGAACAACACTCCCGCCGCGAGAAGGCAGTGAGTAGGGCCTCTGTATCAGTGATTGTATACACGTGGCCATGTGAGAGCACATGAAGAAGGAGAGCAGACTCTCCCCATCCTCGGACGTACTAGGGCATCGGTAGGCAAAGTTCGCGCTCATCCGGGATAAATCCCTTCACTTCTCAAAGACAGTGAGTCAATTTCAGGAAATATATTCAATATTTCACCTTCCTAAAGTCATAATTTAATTGAAAGATTGCTATTCGTCGGTTGTTTATGCTAAAATTCACATGATTTTTCCCCCTAATGTGTTGGGGTGATTCAGAAAATTTCTCGCAAAAGACAAGCAAGGATCAGGAAACACTAAGACGCATTTCATCCAATCAACGTTCACTTGAAGTTTTAGCTAGAGTGAAACGTTAGTGTGAAACGTCACATGTAGAGGTTCTGATTGGCTGATTGCCATACTACTACTATGTTTAGTAGCATTCCAGAATCTTCGAGCAACCCAAGGACATTTAAAATATTATAAAAACCCTATATTTTCTGTATTGAAATGAACCTTGGAGTAAAGTACTTCTCGCATACTTTGCGTCTCCTCTCTCGTGTTCAGTTTGCTGTATAGTTCTAGCTTGGGACTACAAGAATAGCTTAGGAACCGAACATAGCGTTCAATTTGCAAGACTTATCAATGTTAAGCCCATCATCAGTTTCCATTATCCATGATGTTATGAATGATTGACATAGCTTATCAAACGAATATCGACCAGATTGAAGAGTAATTAATGTTATACAGTCATTTGATCGATTGTTGTCAGGAGTAATTTCATTTCGGATAATAAAAATAAATGTTTGTCAGTTAGGCGGTGGTTGCTGTATGAACCAAAATATTCTATGTAACTTAAATGAAGCTAAATTTAATTCATGGGCGTATAAAAGACAAATTTTTCGGATTTCATTAATAAGTGGATGGAAATTGGAAGCTCAACTACTGATTTAAATGAGAAAAAAATGATGAGATGAAATCTACTTGTTATGGTTGGATCTTAACTAGGATTCATCAGCTGTTTTTTGAAAAGATCAATCTGTGGTGGACCAGACAGATATGAACGCGAAAAGTATAAACAAAGTTACTAAGGATCAATAGTAATATTAATATATACAGTTAATTGTTATAAATACAATAAAAATTAGGGACGTTACTTAGATTGACCAAACGTTGCGTGTTCTGATTAGGTCCGGTAATGTAAATCCACAATTATAAATGCTTGATGATTCTGAGCAGGTTGGTGAACTCTCTAGTGATATAATCCCACGTAGAATGTGATATATTCCAATTACAGTCTATAAATAATGATAATATTTGATTTAGACTTCAGCTAACTCAATCACAAACGTAAATAGAACGAGGGATGCGTGAGTAGTAATGTATTCGCGAACAACCAAAAGTGTGTCACCCTATGTCAGAAGCACAACGGAAAGTGTGTTCAAGGTCATCTACTAAAACAACAGTTACAGTCATTTAATGTTAAATATACATACAGTGAAAGGTTGACAAAATAAATACAAATAACATTGAAAACTAGTTACAAAATAAGGTTGTCAGGCCTATCTCCACAAATCTATTCCTACCTTTTTTGAATTTTATGTTGATTAAAATGAATAATAAGATTCAGATAATTGTTTACTGCTTGATTTGTCCAACACATTTCAGCAATCATAACATCTACATACACGCATACTGTGATTTGATCACATTTAAACTCGAATTACTCATTCAGAATATAAACAAAGTCAAAACTTAGACACTGTTAGATAAACGTTTAATCCATAGTCATTTTGATACTAATTATCTCTTTAGACTTCTGAATTATCTTTTACTGAGTCCTTCTGTGAGCCACTTATTTATACTCAGAGTAATTTTCTTCAGTAAGTGACTTGTATACTTAATTCAACATGTAGAATAGTTATGGGTACAAAATCTACATGGAATTAATACTATTGCCAAAGGATCCCTAGGATACTGCTGAGTAAAATCACTTTCGGAAATACTCAATGCAAACTTAGTGTTTTTATCATTCACTAGTGTTACATCTTTGATGTTTTTACCCAATAATATACAGGAGAGAACTTGTCTCGATCTAGGTTAAGGCCTTGGTACGATAGGCTGACTTGTTTTAACTGGAAATATGTGAGTTTGAATCAAGACCAACTGCCTTGGGCAGAGAGACGAAAATTCTATCACCTGATCTGTTGATAAGCGAGAAAGCGAGAGAGAAGACTAGTCAACTGGAAAACTACTCGATGACGAACACGACCACAACGCATATACATTTAGGAAAATACAATCATGTCCAAATTGGACATTGACGTAGAAAAATGGAGTACAAAAGGTTACGTCTAAATTACAATGGCTTTGAAACAGAAAAGGGTATGACAGTGAATCATTCATCAAACGAATGCTTATGGTTTGTAAAATAAACTAGGGACAAAACTAAATATTATTGCTCTACAAGCTTTGAATCAAGTGAAATAACCTCCCTAAAATTAGCTTCTGTTGTTTGTCATGGCTTCTTTGTTCATGTCAAATAGACGCTCAAGGAAACTCATCTACATAAAAAACAAATTACCTTGATTAACCATTTTGATATGGATACCTGTCTTTTGGCTTATTTGGAGCTGGGTAAATATTTCATGCATTAAAGAATATTTCCTGACTTGTAAGAAAGTACCTTCCCGTGTAGCTTAGTGGAGGACAGTGCAGAAGTATGCAATCTTTCATTACGGAACATAATCATAACCAGGTAGTATTAGACTCATTATTTGAAACTATTTATTCATCTTAGATAATTTTGATTTGAATCGTTTTCCTCCTCAAAAAGAAGAGTGAACCAAATTTCCTAGGTGAAGCATTAAGATGGTCTTAATTTCAGTTGGATGAAATATAGTACAAATATATATAATTCTCCATAAAACTTAATTGATTTTAATTAAAAGACTAATATTTGAACGAAGAATATCATTTTCGATAAATTCTCTTCAGGTTCTAAAAATATATATCCAAATTAATAATCCGAAAAATGGCCAGGTTAATAGCAAAGTACATCGTTTAAAGTATGTGAATTTAGGGTTGTCAGTTCAATCGTTATCTTTATTAACAAAACTTCGTATTTATCGAAAATAGTACTCTTCGTTCAAATATTAGTCTTTTAATATGATGGGGATCTTTATATTATTTTAATTATTTTATTAGATTTTAACAAATTTTATTATGAATTATTTGTAAGTAGTATTGCGGTAATTTTACTGTATGTTTATTAATTTGTGCATTAACCATTTTCCTTGTTAGTTGATTCGTCAGTTCAAAAAAAGACTATTCAACAAATAAAACACATCTGGATGAATCCATCGAAACTTCAAGGAACAATAAAATCTCCGAATTATCCATCAGTTTATCCACAGAATTGTAAACTATTATACATTATTAATATACCTGAAAAGAGATTGCTTCGATTGAAATTTTCAGATATTCAGTTAGGAAGTAACATGTCGAGTACCAAGTAAGTTGGTCTATATTTGTCGTGTTTTATTGACCAGTGCGATTACCAAAAATCTACTAAGTTGTAGTTGTTTTTGGTGACTGGAGTTTCAAGAACTGTCTAAGACCACTTGATAAAGAATAAAAATAACTGAATTCTGGCCACGGTTAATGTTCACATTTTTTTAATAGTGTACACAGTATTTGGAGGTAATGAAATATCAAAATATATTCTGAAGATGACTAGACCGGATCCCAACTCAGTTATCTAAAAGCACTGCACTTGCCTGGAGATCTGGAGGTCCTGGGCTCAAAGACGGAAATATGGTGGGTTTGTGGAAATTGCTTAAGTTTTCTATTTTGAATAACTAACTCATCTTAGTTAGGCAACCATTTATAATCAAAAAGCACTGGACAACCGTTTCATTCTATTATGGCATTACTCAGTATTGGGGGATCCACAAACATACCGCCGAGTATCGGGTCCAATGTAGCTGCGGGCACCTAACCTTTAGATTACTGAAAAAGCGTCCCATGGTGTATATAGCCACAGTATTGCGCGACTCTATCTCATTGTATTCAGTGTCTTCCTTACCCACACTTGACATTTCTAAACTCCAATGGTTACTGCTTCTCGCTAGAACTCTTAGGATTGCACCTTAAAGTTAGTCACTGGTGAGCACATCACTGTTATGAGTAGAGGAGGTTTAAAGAGTTCATTGTATACTGATTCATTAGTCTGAAGGTTAGGCACCCGCAGCTAGACTACAGGTGTGGTGCGTGCTACTTATATTGATATAAGTAGTATATAACGTGAGTCAAAAGAGCGTAATGTCTGGCAGCAGAAGATGGAGAAGATCAAGAAAAGAAGAGCGAGAAAACAATGGAATTTGTAAGAAATCGCATGAACAATGAAATGCGAGACATTAGATATGATAGAATGATATTTTGCAAATTAACGATTTACTATATAGTTTTTCTATTTTACCAAGTAATTCTGTAATTTGTCCTAAATACAATTTGGTTGTCCTCAACCGTGTTCTTCTTCACTACATTTGGTGTCGCTGCCTCCACTAAGGATGAAGATTCCGTGGCCGAAGGAGTTTGAGGACGGAGATGTGCTGAGCTTCCTGAAGGAGTTTGAGGCCGTGGCGGAGCTGGTGGGAGTGAAGGAGCCGAAGGCGAAGTTGGTGGTGCTGGGGACGCTGCTGAGAGGCAGGGCGAAGGCTGTGTATGACAGCTTGGACGGTACTGGCGAGAAGACGACATGGGAGGCAGTCACGGAGCGGTTGGCGGCGGAGTTTGACAGCCCAGTGGACAGAGAGAACGCGCTGCAGAAGTTCCGGTTGGCGAGGTTGCCGGTCGATGGTGACCCACTGGTGCTGGCTGTGGAGCTTACCAGATTGTTACGCCGTGCACTGCCGAGTCTGGATGAGGAGTCGGAGGCACAGTTGTTGGCGTCACAGTTTATCGAGAGTGTGCCTGCCACCGTCTCCCAACAACTGAAACTGGTGAACGCAGCGCAACCGATGGATATCAGTGAACTGGCGAAGGTGACTCGTCAGCTGATGACGCGAACAGTAGCTCCAGTAGGGTGCGAAAAGCAGGAGATGAGTAATGTCGAGAAGAAGATTGAGGAGCTGGAGCGTGAGATTGCAGCAATACGAGTGAACAATAAAAGGAACGATAAATGTTACGCTTGTGGAGGGACAGGACATTGGAAGATAAACTGTCCAACAAGACGAAAACGCAGATATGTTAGACGTTACAACGATTGTTCTTTCTATCCTAGGAATCTGGGGATTGTTGCGTTAGTAGACAGAGGGGCAGTATATACGAGAGTGAACATAAATGAGCGAGATTTAGTTTGTCTGATCGATACAGGTGCAGCAGTATCGTTAATAGGCAAAGAGCAATGTAAGAGAATCAAGCCGTGTACATTAGCTGTCCACACGATAGGGGGCCATATGTTAGAGGTGTTTGGCGTATCTAACAGTATCGTAAAAGTGGGGGATGCTGAGATAAATTTTCCGTTCGTCGTAACCACAAGTTTATCGAGACCGATATTAGGAGCAGATTTCCTAAGAGAAGTAAAAGCGATAGTTGACTTAAGAAGCGGTAAGGTGGTCACGAAATATGGTTCATTGACAATACACGAAAGTAGCGAAGTTGCTGAAATAAGAGTTGCAGCGGATGTCTCGTCAAAGAAGCTAAACATTCACGAGTTATGCAAAAAGTATGCCAAACTATTCACTGGAGATGGGGAGCCGTATGGATATTGTGACAGAGTAAAGCACGAAATACCGATAAAGAACAGTCGAGTAAATATATTTGCAACACGTCGTGTCCCGGTGCATTTAGAGGCCGAGGTAAATCGTCAGGTCCAGGAAATGTTAAAAGAAGGTATAATTGAGGAAGCGGACAGTCCATATAGCTCGCCGGTACTCTTGGTAAAGAAACCAAATGGAAAGTATAGATTTTGTGTCGACTTCAGAGAATTGAATAATATAACAGACCTGAAGCCTTGTGCAATGCCAACAGTGGCGGAAACATTAGATCGGCTACAGAATGCCACGGTGTTTACAGTGCTGGATTTACGGTCAGGTTATTGGCAACTGCCTATAAAACAGAGTGATCGAAGCAAGACAGCGTTTACTGTACGTGATAAACAGTATCAATTTAAACGAATGCCGTTCGGGTTGGCGGGTGCACCGTTCACGTTCAGAAGATTAATGACACTACTGCTCAAGAATTTAGATAATGTCGAGGTATATGGCGACGATGTAGTTGTGTACAGTCAAACAGAAACAGATCACATCAAGCATGTGGAAGCGGTCTTAAAGCGAATTGACGAATTTGGACTTCGGATTAATAAGGACAAGTCGCAGATAGCGAGAAGTAGCGTCACATTGTTGGGACATAAAGTGGGAAATGGAGAAATAAAACCATTGCCGGAGAAAATTCTTACCATAAAAAATATTGCAGTACCTAATTCAAAAAGGAAGTTGAGACAGTTCCTGGGAAGAGCGGCGTTCTACAGTCGGTTTATCAAGAATTTCAACGAAATAGCAGCACCCTTATATAAGTTATTAAGCAGCACCAAGTTTACGTGGACTGAGACTGCCGAACAAACGTTCAACCGAATCAAAAACATGCTAGACGATCGCCAGATGACGCTCAGACTGCCTGAACCGGGAAGACTGTTTACAGTGGCCACAGACGCGAGTGATCATGGTATAGGTGCTGTGTTGAGTCAGGCTGATAGAGTGGTGGAATACGCGAGTCGCGTCCTCACACCTGCTGAACAGAAGTATTCAACCATCGAAAAGGAGTGTTTAGCGATCGTGTGGGCAGTGGAAAAATGGAGACCATACCTTTTAGGTAGACGATTTCACATTGAGACCGACCATAAACCCCTGCAGTGGTTGAAAACAGCAAGAGACCCCCGAGGGAAGTTGGCGCGATGGATGATACGCCTGCAAGAATACGATTTCAGTATCGGCCATGTTCCAGGAAAAGAAAACGTAATGGCAGATTACTTGTCAAGACCAGACATGGAAGCCGACCTGCCATTAACAGCATACGCGGTGAATAGTTTAGAGGGAGACCCATTAGAACTCGTCCGGCAGCAGAAAGCTGACCCTAACCTTCGAGAGGTAATCAGAGTGATAAAAGAGGGAGCAGACGTAGATAAACGAACAATGGACAAGGAGGTAATAACGCTGCTTCGGCAAAAGGACCGACTGAGAGTGAACTCATATGGAGTGCTGACCTGGCAGGACGATGATGAAAATTGGGTGGCGGTGATCCCGAAAGACTGGCGGCGCAAAGTGATACACGAGTGTCACCAGGTAGCACATACAGGCATCGCAAGAACGACGGACTTACTACGACAAAGTGCATACTGGCCGAGCATGAGAGAAGATGTGGCTGAATACGTGTTAACCTGCCAGCAGTGTCAGCTAATGAAAAGCGATCGATACACACAACCGCCATTACAGTCAATCCCAGTAACCGCAGTCGGTGATCTATGGTCGGTGGATGTGATGGGACCGTTTCCACAGACGGCGAGCGGTAACCAGTACCTGTTAGTGATGACGGAACATGCTACACGTTGGGTAGATGCCGTACCCATTGCAGACCAGCGGGCAAGGACAGTGACCGAGGTGGTAATCCGGCATATTGTAGCGTGTCACGGAATACCGAAGATGATATTAACTGACCAGGGTCCCTGTTTTGAAAGTGACGAGTTTAAAGCCCGTTTAAAGCAGTTTGGCATCAAGAGAATACGAACTACACCGTATCATCCTCAGACAAACGGGCTTACAGAGAGAAACAATCGGACGTTAAAGGAATGGTTAGCATCAAAAGGAGGAAATTGGGAGAAAGAGTTACCATTGATTTTGCTGGCACATCGTTCCTCCACACAAGGAACAACCAAGAAGTCACCTTTCTTGCTCATGTATGGCAGACAACCACGACTTCCAATGCATAATAAGACCTGGCCACAACAACAGAAGTGGACGACAACAAGGTTAAGAAAAGAGAGGAGAGAGGCAATAAGGAACGTGAAAAAGAAACAAATATCAGACACAAAGAAGGCAGAACAACAGAGGAGAACGTGGAAACCATTTGCAGTGGGGGACCTAGTAAAGTGTAGAGAACGAAAAAGTAACATAGCAGGGGGAGCAGGGTCGGGGAAGCTGGCCCCAAAATGGGAAGGACCGTATGTTATAACGGAGAGACGCGGCTCGGTCTACACTATTCGGAGAGAAGACAAGCAGAAGCGCGTAAATGCTAGTCAACTACAGAGATGGTTTCAAGATCATCATGGGTGTGAATCACGAAAAGCACCAAAGAACACAGCGGTACGGAGATCAGAAAGACTACGACAGCAACTTGTTAAAAGGGGGGACGAGTGTGGTGCGTGCTACTTATATTGATATAAGTAGTATATAACGTGAGTCAAAAGAGCGTAATGTCTGGCAGCAGAAGATGGAGAAGATCAAGAAAAGAAGAGCGAGAAAACAATGGAATTTGTAAGAAATCGCATGAACAATGAAATGCGAGACATTAGATATGATAGAATGATATTTTGCAAATTAACGATTTACTATATAGTTTTTCTATTTTACCAAGTAATTCTGTAATTTGTCCTAAATACAATTTGGTTGTCCTCAACCGTGTTCTTCTTCACTACACAGGCTCTGGGTTCATTACTTAGTGGTGTGTTTGTGGATCCTCAATACTGAGTATCCCCATATTAAGACAAGACGGTTGTCCAGTGCTTCCTGACTAATGGTTGTCTAACTAATTTCAGTCAGTGATATAAAATATGGAATAAATAACTGACCGTCAAGGCGTGAGGTAATAAGTGTAGGATTTATTTTGACTACATATATCATCCTGAAAATTCTGCGCTAAACGTCAACAACTTTATCTGTTTTTGTGTAATAACATAGAAATTACTTACGGATTATTTGAAGAGCAAACCACCATTTGAATTAAAATAAATGAGGCACATGAATGATGACTTATCACGTACGTTGACGTTGTTGGCACAGTCATCCGTATATCAAAAGCCGAAAAACGCATTAAGGAAATATGGATCGTTTTTATAACAAAATCACACGCTTACTAACAAAATGTTTGGGCCGAAAAAAAAATGACTAAAATTCACGTGAAACCTAACTGGTTGTAGGATTCGAATTTCATAGATCATTCACTAATCAACAAAACGGAAAATACGCACTAATGAGAAAATTCTAAACATAAACGAACAAACACTAATTCACTGGTGAAACATTTCAAATACATGTGACTGAAAGAATAGAATTTTCTAATCCTGATTGGGCATTGAGTAGCTATTAATATCATGCTTATCTAGTCTTTACTGTTGACGAGATTTATCGAATAATTTTTAAGCAGCCATTACCTGATGTAACTCGACACAGTAATGTTCTGTGTTGGGAGCAATAAACATGGAGCCTAATTTGACATTTTATTCTTGCGATACTGACGTCTACTACTTCTAGAGTACATAATACTGATTATTACTAAGTTATCAGTTACTGAGTAAGCAATTTAGACAATATTGAATAAAATAAATAACTCCTTGAACGGCAATAACGATATTTTAACTAAAAAACGGAACATTAATTTACGAGGCTTTGTTTTGTTATTTATACGTTTGGATTATAAGTTAACTTATTACTGGTTCGCCCCCAAATGCCCGAGGGTGGGGAGAGTTAGCTTATCATCTACATTTATCTTCCCCGGCTACCATGGGACTGCACCTCCCAGAGTTGCTCCACTGCTTTATGGATCAGACCTTTGGGTCGAAGGCTCCGGAGACCACCTGCTTTGGTCTGGGCATCCAGGTAGTATCACAGCCCACACACAAATCAAGTAACTTGTGTATTCGATGCCCCTTTGTTCCAATATTTATGTGTTCAAATAAATATAAATAAATATTACTGACTCAAGAATGAACCTAACCAATAATTTTAGTTTTTTTATTCAACTTTTTGATTCATGTGTAAGTTAACTGTTTTAGTGCTTAACAACAATCTTTGCTCAACTATTATCCGTGAATTATGCAATTTCCTGAAAACGTTGAATTGACTTCCGATTTAACTGCCGTAGTGCGCGTAGGTTTGTTAAACGTTCACTCTGATAACCGTTATTACGAGGACTCCACGGGATTGAATTCAGAAAGCGATAAGAAGCAGCGACTACAATTTATTATCCGATCGCGCGGACCATAGAATTACAAACACATCAAGCGGATTTTAAGCGAAAAGGTCATTGAATCATCGCAAGCGACTATAGATGCAAATTTATAGTTATATTAAATAAAGGCACAGTGAATCAAAGTCCAGTTCGTTTTTATAATACAAGCACACATATATGAGGGAAGGAGAATCATACATCGAGCTATATTTAAGTGATCAGGATTTTAGCTAGACAGGAATATGCGTTGGCTGTAATTAGCGTTCAAATATACACGGTTACGTAAGTGTCATGGAGATTCTACTAATACAAAGAGGTAAACGACTTGTTACTATGACGATGACACTTTCCGTCAGATGAAAGGGGTCGACAGGATTAACCGTTATTAAAATTAATCGTAAGAGTGTTACTACACTACACTCTAAGAAAAACTGTAACAACCTAGTCTTTCTAAAAGTAAATTCGCAACAAATGTTTTGATATTTTTTATACCCAATTGTAACTACAGTTGAATCAATCATATGATGTTAGCATTTTTAATTATTATTTGGAATTAAGGAACTCTTCAAAGGAATCACATACACTTTCAAGAAAAATGAAAATGTATTGATTGTAGTAATTTAAACATGTATGATTCATGCCTTGTCGCTTCAAAATTACTCCTTTACTTTAGATGATGTTAGAATGGATTTAGAAAATACTGGTAGAAGTATGATCAAGCAGTGCTATTAACCAGCAATGTTATTCCTTGGTTGTCTGAGTAATGTCAATCAGTACGAACGCTATGGTTTGACCTATGATTGGGCATTCCAAATAGATCGGTGGTGGTGACGTTCAATCTTTACTCTGTTTCATTATATCATAATTATTCATTTGTTGATTCTATCTAGTTCTTTAATACTTTTGTTTCTTAATATTACATTTTTCGCTATTACTATCTGATATTTTTGAAACTCCAATCTAGATGTACGCAACATGTGGGTGATCGTATAGAAATCTACGAAAAGAATTATTTAAATATTACACCCAAGTTAATTTTGTGCGGGACATCAGTACCAGAGGAACAAATAATGTTGAATAATAAATTTGAAATGCAACGTGTATACATTTATTTTATTACAGACCATATAACAAGTACAAATGAGCTTGGTTTCATGTTGTCATATGAATATTCCACTAAGAATGATTATACTGAGAATAATAACAAATTATTTCTTATTCGTAAAGATTTATCCGACAAGGTTGATGATGGTAAGTAGTAATTGACAGGCCGAAATGATAAATGCTGTAAAGTATGAGTTTATTTGTACATTTTTGGTATCCATGATAAATTAGTGTGGTGTTCCAGCCATTCGAGGTTGGTGAAGCCTCTCTCGGTAAAGCTCATAGGCTTATGTTAGTTAGAATTTGCCTTTTGAGGATCACCAACCCACTGCATGGACGTGATTTTGAGAGGGAACCCCTAGTCTTGGTGTGTGGGTGTTGAAGCCATGGGGAAGTATAATCTTTACCCATGCATCCCTTGGCCTATACATAGGTATATTCATCCACCTGGGATGGTAGATAGTCATCTCTTCCTTTAAATGTATTTGCTACAGCTGATTATCTACTGAATATTATGTACATACCATCGGTGCAATGACTTTTGTCCATACACTTCAAGCAATACATACGAGCATAAATACTCTCTCAAGAAGGGTCGATGATCACCAATCCCTAGTATTTGCTGCCATATCCTTTTATTGTCTTCGATATGATGGTTTAGGCTGCTAACGTTATCAGATATAGGTAGACATGTTTTTCAGATTATCTTCCTTTTACGGTCCTGGCGCGTACCCTTTACATATACCTACATACACAACTACAAAAGCCGAGATTCATGCAATTCATATGCAAGAGCGTACACATCGGGCAGCCCGCCACGACTTTTAAAGCTTTGATGAGTGAACTTTGAGCAATCCAAGCTCAGCACAAAGGTGGAATAGTCTGATCTTCGCCAACTGCCCGAATTAGCTAGCAAGGTTGCGCCTACTACCTAGCAGTGCCACGAGGAGGACTCAAATCGGATTTTGTTGCGAGTAAATTATTGAAGGTTTACATTCAGTGTCTTTGATATTCTACTGAGAAATCTCAAATAGGACGGAACGCACGTGATCAATTTTATTTCTAGCCATGATAAATATACTATAACTTGTAGCTAGAGTCTATATAGAGACAATGCGCTCAGAATACATGTATGAGCACTAGAATTAATCAGTTGCAGTCCTTACTGTTAACAAAGGGAAATTAGAAACTCCGACTAGTCCCTTCGATTCCTTTAAACAAGTTGGTGGCTATTTTGCATCAATAGCCGAGTGAGTAACGCATTGTTATTTTAGGTGAGAGTGATACAGGGTTTAAGCTTCACTGTGAATGTTAATACATACAGCGAACGAGTTTCAAATAAAACGAAACTCTCTTCCTAGATTCCGTTGCTATCCATAAACTGGTTATACTACTTATGATAAATTATTTAAAGAATCTCAAAGATCAACATCCATGAGCTCGTATTATTACTACACATAGCTGAAGTTCCCATTTTGGTGATATTATTGAGGTTGATTTCCTCTTTATCTGACTCCAATAAATAGTATCCTGTTAACTGAGTATTTAACACAAGATAAATTTCCTAGTACAATTATGGATTTACTCGAGACTAATCAAAAGCCTGAATACCAGTGACAGAGATAGTTTATTTACTAATTGAATTCATGAGTCAATTGAAGCTAGACCACCATGGAAAACCTGGAAGCCCTGAACAGAAACTTCACTACCCAGGACCTATCAGTCTCGCGCGCGAACGCTTAACCTTCAGACCATTGAGCAGATATCCAGCGGTGTTGATGTCTAACTTCAATCAACCTACTATTGACGAGTCCCATACTAGGATGGAACGGCCGTCCAGTGCTCCCAGGTTTTCCATGGTGACTTGGCTTTAATTAACTCGTGGAATTACTACAATCTCCACAAAATCCCTTTCAGACAGTTTATTGTCAGAAATTGGTGAAATCCGCAAGCATGCAGGAAGCAATCACACAGTAAGCAGATAAGTAATAACCTAGTTAAATGGGTTTACCAAGGTGTACTGATTAGTATCCATCATTTAAAGTACAAACTTCTATCTGAAGTTTGTGCTGATGATGTCGTTCAGAAGAACGATGAAAGCTCCACGACCAAACCATCCAGCTCAGAGAACAAAACTCCACCAAAATGATCCACCTGAGCTACAAATCTTCTCCACCATCTCAAATCATTTAAAGTAGTCAATCAGTAGTATAATGTCAAAGTGCCGACTGGGATATTTAAGTTTACGAAGTAAATATTTATGAATACGGATATTTCATATATTAGCAAGACTTCAGTAGATATGATTGTCTAGGTAAAGTTAATATACGATGGCAAACCACGATAGTCAACAACGTCCGAAACCTTACTTTATTAATAAACTTATCAAGTTCTTAATGGAGGCTAACTTCGACAGCCGATTCCTTGATTTATAATGATAAGTAGTGATCAGTATTATTCAACCTTGTAGGTCGTGAGACAGATATCACCAATCACAAAAGGTGATGGTCACCCGATATTCCAGATAGGTTGAAATTAGTGACCAATAAATTTCAACCCAGCGTACTGACAGTTAAGGATCGGAGAGATGTAGCAAGGACCTTAGTTTCACTCCTGTTGGGGCCACTAATGCACGCTCCGTTTGGTCCTACGCTAAGATGAAAGAACTGTCCAGTACTTCCTAATTTTTGGTGGTTGCCTAACTACAGTTTGACCGTTCTGTAAAACTATAAAACTCAACAGTTTCCGTTACCACCTAAACTATAGAATATGGTCAGTTAAACAAAGGAATTACAATAACATTATTATTATTATTATTATTATTATTATTATTATTAACACACTATGTTTGAGTAAAACCACAGACAATGACAAAACGCTTTTGTGGAATTCTGAATTGATTAAGTGCTGACGAGCACATCCTTATTTATTGAGAGCATTAAAGTAAAGATTTTTTATGTCTTGTTGGAATTTCTTGGTTATCATGCTGTTATTGATAGACACCAATAAGATATGACCATAACATTGAACAAATGAATGCTTTATCAAGAATATAAATTGAGCAGTTAAGTTTTAATTGGAATGTCATCTTTTACACTGATGGCATGTAGAAGTTTACGTAATGTGGATCTTGAATCCTACTACTACCTATTACACATTTTTTTGTTCACCACTGATTTTATTCTTCAGTGAGGTACATCCTCCGTTTTTTATCATCATGCTTAACTCAGTAACGTTTATGTCGAAGTAACATCCTAAATTCTGACCTACTTAGTCTGGTGCTCATGATTGAATACTATATTTCAAACTGGTGATTTTCAAGATAATTCAGTTTATCATGTTGAAGTTAAAATAGAAAGACACTCGCTTTGATACCAGTTATAATCGAGCTCGTGACTCACTGATTTCATACATTCAATCCATGTAGCAAATCAGTCATTTTTAAATAATGTGTAACATAAACCACAAACGTTAAAAGTTCGCACCTAAACTATCTTAACACTCAAAACCATTTTCACCACAAAGTATGATATAAGATTATGTTCGTTGAATGTCTGTTTTGTTTAGATTTGAGACTCTTCAGTAATATACACTCAATATCCTAGTAGATGTTTAACCTGGAAACTAAGTCTTTCAGTGAACATGGTTTATTAAAACATTTAATCCCATTCCAGTCTCATTTATTTTTTGAACATATTTTTATAATCAAATTTTTAGAATTATTCGTTACTTTTTTAAATCAAATTATTCTCAAGATTCTTTGGAACAGATAAGGCAAACGTTGAAAAAACCTTTAGGCTAATTGTATAGATATGAGTTTCGAATCGCGTTTCTAATCCCCATCAATAAACGCTGCAAATGTTATCTTCGTAACCAGCGTATTGTTTTTGATCTCTTTCTATCTACACTATAATAACCCTTTTCTGTCCAATATTCCTATTTCATTCTTATTGAAATTTTAAAAAGAAAAAAGGGATACGAAAGTCAGTCAAAGAAATTTTTATAAGTCATTTCCATCTTAATTATAGTTTATAGTATGCTATATCTAGTGCTTAGATTCTTAATATATCACGCATAACGTGAGCACTCAAACGCTAGAACCCTCCCGATTCGCAAATGAGAAGACAAAAGATAAGCGGAAGGAACTCTATTCCAAATAGTGTCATTTATGATACAAAACTGTCAGGTATTTAAAGTTTTTAGTAAAAACGAAATCATCATTATAGTCCTCCAATACACATACAGGGGGTTATTAGCATTCGTCTAATAGGGAAGCTACACGTAGGGATTCTGGAATATTCTTCCAAAAGATGATTGGATGGAATATCTTCGACTCTCTCTGAGCTTCTTACACCATCCTTGAGTTCACTCATGGACCGTCCTCACATGGTAACATACTTAAAATTAACAATAAAAGAGAGTGCTTTGCCTGAAGTTTCACCTGATAAATCAGCAAAAATTTCGATTTTCGTGTCAATGTAACGTTCCTATACACAGTAGACTGGAAATATCGCAGCTAATTTTTATAAATTCTTTCTGTCAAAATTAATATTAAATATTTTTCAAAATTTTTGATAATTAATAAGTAATCTGGCAACAAAATTTTAGTTATTAATACGTTAGAACTTAAGACAAAATATCAAAAGTACTTTATTAAATATCCCTTGTACAGTTTCTGTCAGTAATATCATTGGCTTAGCATGTGAATCTCATCCGATTGTCAGTTTCGAAACAAATGCCAAGGTACGATATTTTTTTACGCTTAAATTTTACTGTTTTTGACACTGAAATTGATTAACAGTTTAGTGGATAAGGAGCTGTTATTCAAGTCAGTAGGTACTGAGTTTGAGTCTCGTTGTGAACATTAATACTAGAATGGAAGTTCATGTGAATTAGGGAGCAGAACACTCACCTAGAGACCTGCTGGTGTTCACACTCCGATAATACGGACGAGGCTATTGAGTGGTTATCACATACACATATCTTGGGGAATTTTTAAAGTTAGAAACGAGAATCCTTTAGTTTTAACTCTGCTATTTCAACTTTTGACTTACTGAGATATGGAAAATCCGTGGTTTGGACCGAAATTAGTGTGCAATATTGAAGAGACGTGATCAATGGTGAATTCGTTGTTTTCGTTTTCCTCT